GCGCACCCAAAAGTCTCAAATGTGAAATATTGAGCTTTTCATTGTACACTAATTATACTGGGGAGTAGCTATGATAGCTTGTCGGTCTTAATTTTATCAGTGTTGTTGCATGCATAATTGCATATCCCCAAGCAGATACAGGGAAGTTTGGATTTCATTAGCATAGGTCTTGCAATTAATTGCAGCCTTTTTATAAGTGATTCAGCTAGACCATTTTGAGTATGTACATGAGGTACAAGATGTTCAATGTCAATTCCAATAGACATGCAATAATCATCAAATGTCTTAGATGAAAATTTACTAGCATTATCAAGACGAATTTTCTTTATTGGGTGATCTGAAAACTGAGCTCGTAATCTAATTATTTGAGCAAACAATCTCGCAAATGCTAAATTGCGGGTGGATAATAAACACACATGCGACCATCTAGTAGATGCATCGATAAGTACCATAAAATATCTAAATGGTCCGTATGGTGGATCTATAGGCCCATATATATCACCCTGAATTCGTTCTAAAAATGAAGGGGATTCAGTTCCCACTTTTGTTGGTGATGATCTAGTTATTAACTTCCCTTTTGAGCAAGCAACACATATAAACTTATTTGTATTTAATACCCTTTGATCTTTCAAGCTATGGCCATATGTATTTTCAATAATTCGTCTCATCATAGTATTATCGGGATGCCCAAACCGGTCATGCCAAATTATAAAATCTGTAGACTTCTGGTCTAACAGATATGTTTCAACCACATTAATTTTTGTGCAATATAAACCGAAAGACAATGGAGACAATTTTTCTAATATATATTTATGTCCATCAATGAATTTTGTAATCAACAAAAATTCATTATTTGTCTCACTTGATGTCTCAATATTATATCCATTTCTGCGAATATCATTAAAACTCAACAAAATTCTTTGAGATTTACTAGAATATAGTGCATTTTGGATATCAAGTTTTACTCATTCGGGAAGAAATATTATCGCTCTTCCAGAGCTCTCAATTAACTTCGCACAACCACTTATGGTATTCACCTCAATTTTTTCTAACTTCAAGTTGGTGATATATTTCTTATATTTCAAAATAGTGTGCGTTGATGCACTATCAATGAGACATGAATTGTCTTCCATATTATTTATTAAAGCGTGCTCATCATTTATATTTCTTCTTCATCAGGGTGTTCAAAATATAGTATATGGAATTTCAAATATATATTATCCCATTGCACCTTTAGGATGCTTAATATACATCTCAATATGTACCATCAGGTTTCAAAATATATACCTCCATAGTTCTCAATTTACACCTTCAGGGTATTCAATATACATCATCAGAGATTTTCAAAATATAAATCTTCATGGTTATCAAAACATGTACCTTCTGGGTATATAAAAAAATCACACATATTATTGTGTGCTAATAAAATTATCGCCATCAATCGCATTGTTTTTAGATAAATTTATTTATTAAATTTTGGTATCATCGGGTGCAGTTTTTTTTTTTTTTTTAATAGCCGGTGAAAAAATTGTAAATTTATGTTAGTAATAATTGTATTGAAAAAGTTAATTGAATAAGCACCTCAAAATTTTGGCAGAGTTTCGGCAACACTTGGATATTTTCTTATTGTATCCGGGCAGAACTTCGAGAGATTTTTTTTTCTTCTTCTTCGAGTGCAAATTTCGCAACCTGTTTAAATAATTTAAACAAAAAACATAAAAAATACGCTATCTTTATATAAGCATTTCCTCGGTAAAACCTCGTGCTGATAAAGTATTATAAAATATATAACAAACAAATAAATAAACAAAATATTTATATATGTGTATGCATGTAACGTGTGTAAGTTAAACACACAATTTAATAGATATATAATATATATATGCAATATACTTATATGTAGAGAGAGAGAGAGAGTTTGATATAATATATGTATATATATATATATCTATAGAGAGAGAAAGAGATAGAGAGAAAGAGATAGAGAGACATACAATAGCTTTGATTGCATAATTTCTATCTCTTCTCTCATTTCATGTGAATATTTATACAAGTTTTACAATATAATGAGTCATTAAATCGATGATTTGGCAAACTTATTACATGATACCTAAAAACAAATGTGATGAGTCATAACATATACTCTCTCCGTCCCAAAAGAGTTGTCTTGTTTTTCTATTTTTGTCCGTCCCAAAACAATTGTCATGTTTCCTTATTTAGTAACTGTAGTCCCCATTTTATAACAAAATTATTCATACTTCTCCAAAAAGTAAATAAGGAAACATTTTTATTATCGCCATACAAAATTATTACTCTAGCATACTTTTTAAAATCCTTCAAAAAGTAAGGATATTTTAGTCTTTTACATTCTATTTTATAACCACTTTCAATTAAATATTATTATTCTTTAATTCTCGTGCCAACTCCCAACAAGACGCTTCTTCTAGGACGGAGGGAGTACTAATTTTTTTTATGGTACATTTATATTGTTTTTAATAAAAATGTTTTTAATAAAATATTATTTAAATTAAATATCAAAACAGTTAATTATTGAAAATTAAAAAAAAATTATTTTTAAAATATATTTTTGTGTTGTTTTTTAAATAATGTGTATTTTTTTCTTTCTTTTATTTCAATTAAAAAGTATTACTCATCTGTTTCACCTATCACGTCCATATTCTCGTTTGTGTCCATCCCAAGCATCATTTTAAATTTTCTAATTTGATTATTTAAAATTTTAATTAAATTAATTAATTATCTTTTAATCTTAATTTATAATTAATTATATTATATAATAATTATTTTGACTAATTCATTCTTAATTATCTACTAATTATATTTATATTAAATTCTCGTGTCTACAATAACTCAGACATACAACATGGGCAGAGATGGAGTACTATTTAGAGTTTGTTTTTCTGGACCTTTTTGTTTTATCTATGTTACAAAAAGTTAACATTAATATTTTTCCGTCTCAATTCAAAATATCATTTTTATCATTTTAATTTGTCATACTTCAAAGTATTTATTTTCTAATTTTAGAACAAGTAACCATATACTAATAACAAAATATCATTAACTTTTACTTAAATTACAAATATATCATTACACATACAATTACTTTATATATAAAGTCAAAGGGCAAAAATATAAAAAACTATTACATATTTTCACTAACTAATAAAATATTATTATTTTTTAATCTATTACAAAACCTCAAAGAGTCCATTTGATTAGGGGCGGGGGGAGCATAAAATATTAAGTCATTGAGTAAGTAAAAGTAGATGCAATAATAACATATAAGGATATTTGTAGAAAAAAGTGATATATTTTTAAAATTGTTACTTTGTAATTAGACAATTTAAAATAAAAATGTATATACTTTGTGACCGGAGGAAAAGAATATATTTTAATATTAAATAATGAGTTTCTTTTGTTTATTTTTTGTTTTTGGATAAATATATATTTTTATATTAAATTATTAATTTTTTATAAAATATAAAACATATATATATATATATATATTTAAGAAACCCAAAATGCAATGAAGTAGCAATGAGGCATGGAAAAAAGTACTTGCATCATAATGCATGCTTATTCAAATAACAATTAGTTGCAAGTTGCAATACTCATCATCAATCATGCCTACACTTCTAAAATTAATTTACTATATAAAATGATGAAAATGTCAAATACCCTTTTAAATAATTATTCATACTGGTGTGTGTTTTTTAAATGAAATGAATACATCATTTTTTTTTAAAAATAATATAGGAATTATTTTTTTTTTAATAACATAAAAATCTGTAATCGCTATCCGAAAGTGCGCATTAGATCACCTCCTATTGAACGGGACAAAATAAATAAATCACTTATATACAATGTCACTTGAATCACATATTATTAGTTGGCCTATTTATACTACCGAATTTAAATAAACATTAACAATAATATTAGGTTTACTTTTATTTAAATATTATTTTACTTTGATATTATTATTATATTGAATAAATAATGTTGATTAAATTTGAAATAGTAAAAAAATAAACTCAATATTTTGTGTGTTTTGTTGATTTTATTATTTGGTGTATATATTATACAGTATTATATTTTTAAATAACATTTAATAAAATATTTTATTAAGAAATTATTTAATATAATAAGTGTGTTTATTTTGTAAAATAGTTTGAAGAAATTTTTTATCTTATATGTGAGGTATAAATTGTATATATAATATAAAAATTGTGAATGCATATAATATACTATTATTATCATTATTTTTAAAACAATATGAATTATTTTTGCAAAACAAGCACACTTAATATATATATTTTTTAAAAAATTATTATTAATATGGATAAATACTAGTATTAAAAATCTCAAAATATTTTGTGTTTGTTTTTTTTATTTGAAATAAAAAAAATTTATTATTCATCAATCGAATTTTTAATAAAAATATATTATCTTCCTCCGGTTCTAAGGGTTTCATTTACTTTTTCTGTGTTGATATTTGAATATTAATTATTATATCAAAACGTAGTTCAAATTAAAAAAATTGTAAAACAATACTTCAATTAGTACTTGTACAACAAATTATACCCATACCAACGTAACGTAAGAATATTTTTAATGTTAAATATAATTGTTAAATGATGAACAAAGGAAGTATTATATTCTTTTAAATAAGATATTAAATTAAATTAAAATATTTATTTTGTTTGTGTAGTATTTTATTTTAAAATTTTTTTATGTTAAATATAAAAAATTGTATAATAATATAAAAAAATAATACTATTTTTTTTTTGTTTGTTGAATATTAATTTTTATAGAAAAATAAAATATATATTAAAAATTGTATAAAAAAAAATTTGTAAATAAAAACCTCATATTAATAGTCAATGTAAAATCAAAACCAAATCAAACACGATGCTACCTTTTCTATTTCTTGTTATCGGAAAAAGGCAAATGAAGAAATCTGTAAAGGCGGAATCCAATCTCGACCAAAACCCATTTGAAATCCTACGACGGGCATTTCGACGTGTCCCCTTTTCTTCAGAAGCCCACAGTTTTCTCGTTGTTTTCTTCGCCATTTAAAACCCTATAAATCCACCCCCCACCATTCTTGACTCCCCCCTACTGTCCTCCAACCCTTCTGCTTCACACTAGTTCAGCGATTTTCATAGATCAGGTACATTTCAATGATTGCTCGCTGTTCTGCTCTTGATTCGTTCTGTTGTTAAGTATTATTTCCTAGATCTGGCCGCGGTTGGTTGGTGTTTTATTTACTGATTGAGGTTTGGATTGGTCAGGGAGGATATCGAATCGAGGATGGGGAGCACGGGATTCTCGTGGAAATTGAAGGACCATCCGAAGCTGCCCAAGGGGAAGACGGTGGCCGTGGTGGTGCTTGACGGCTGGGGCGAGGCGGCTGCGAATCAGTACAACTGCATCCATGTCGCGCAGACGCCTACCATGGATTCGCTCAAAACTGTACCGATCGGATTCCGAATTGGGGGCGGGGGCGGGGGCGGGAGCGGGAGTTAAGGTCTCTGATCTGATCTGATCTGATTGATTGGTGTTGTTTTTTGGTTGCAGGGGGCGCCGGAGAAGTGGAGATTGGTGAGGGCGCACGGTACTGCGGTGGGGCTGCCCACAGAGGATGATATGGGCAACAGTGAAGTTGGGCACAATGCTCTTGGCGCTGGCAGGATTTTTGCCCAAGGGTCAGCTTAGCTAATATATATATACATCTTTTGGTTATTTTGATGAGTTAAATGGATATTTTGAGCATGTTTGGACTGTTGTTTGACGTCGATCTGTTTTTATTTCCCTGTTCTGTGCGTTTGGTCTTTGTGTATGTGCCCGTTGTTAATCCAGTTTTAAGTTCGATTAGGGTTTATGTGGATTAGAGATTTTGAAGGTGAAATATTAACGTTGAATTTATTAATCTCCTGAGTAATTTGATTGAATCATGTTTGCATTGATCTATCTATAATTATTCCCTGTTCCTTAAGAGTTGTTGTTTGTGTATGTGCACTCGTTGTTAATCCAGTTTTAAGTTCGATTATGTTTAGGTTTAGATTAGGGTTTATATGGATTGGAGCTTTTGGAGATGAAAGATTAACAATGAATTTATTGAACTTTGAATGAGTAATCTATGCTTTTAATTTGAACAACTTTCTAATTTTTTAGCCCTTCATTCTCTATTCCAACTAGGCTGAAAAGAGTTTCTTTATTTGTTTTTTTTTTCTGTTCTTGTGATTCTTTTCGTTGGATAGCAAGAAAATTGAGAACTCTTCCAATATGGAAAGGTTGATTGAATGAATTGTGATCCATTGACTTACTAATAATATACTGATAGTTTATACCACTAAGCTAGTTGCTAGTATTTTCAAAGATCATGGAAACATGATTTTATTTCAGTCACAAATACTTCAGCTAATTTTATTCAATGTTGAAAAATTTGACTGTAAGACTCCAATAAATGATTAAAAAGTAGGATCCACTTGGTGAGCATCCAAAATCTATTTAATGCTTGACTCGAGCCGGACTTGCTTTATCTATTTGAAAATGTGAAGTTAAGTTTTATTCTATTAAATAGTTTTTTGTTTTTTGTTTTTGCTTCGTGTGTTTCTGTGTGGTGCTATGGACTGAATGGGAAAATGTGTTTGGATTTATTCTTTTTTGTTTGTTTCTGGATATAGTGCAAAGCTTGTTGATATTGCTCTTGAAACTGGGAAAATTTATGATGGAGAAGGCTTCAAGTACATTAAAGAATCTTTTGACAATGGAACGCTACACCTTATTGGATTGCTAAGTGATGGAGGCGTTCACTCTAGGCTCGATCAGTTGCAGGTATCTTTACTGTTTTTTTTTTATTTGAAAGAAATCTTTTACCGAATATGGGAAATGAATGGAAGTTGTTGTACTGTTGGGATGCAGTTGTTGCTGAAAGGTGCCAGTGAGCGTGGTGCCAAGAGAATCCGTGTTCATATTCTCACTGACGGTCGTGACGTGTTGGATGGATCAAGTGTTGGATTTGTAGAAACTCTTGAAAATGATTTAGCGAATCTACGTGAAAAGGGTATCGATGCAAGGATTGCATCAGGTGGAGGTCGGATGTATGTTACAATGGATCGTTATGAGGTAAACTGCAAATTGTGACTTGTCATTGGACTTTGATTTCCTTTTTAAGATGAAAATGAATGAACTATATGGGATCTCATAAATTTGTTCTACGAGGATGAATCGTAGAATAGGTGGGCCTTTTTCCGTGTTGGATTAATAAAACCTGGGACCCACCATACCCATCAAAATCAATCTTTTTTTTTTTAAAAATATGTTTTTGGTAATAATTTTGTTTCCTTCTTTACTGACTTCTGGATGCATAAGTCTGTATTTCTGTCCGACCATGAAGATATGCCGAAATGTGTTGAAAGTTAAAATATGTTTTCTTAACACAAAATATGATTTTCATTAGGACTTTCCGGAGCTCTTATTTGGTTTTGATTTTGAAGGATTTTAATTCTGTATCATCAAACATCATTTATACCTTTGATTTTCCTTACCTAAACTTTTTCGAGTGATGATGCATTCTAATTTGTGTCTTTGACCATTTCCAGAACGACTGGGAGGTTGTGAAGCGAGGATGGGATGCCCAAGTGCTTGGAGAAGCACCCCACAAGTTTAAGAATGCAGTCGAAGCTGTCAAGAAGCTGAGAGAGATTCCTAATACAAACGATCAATACTTACCTCCATTTGTCATTGTTGACGAGGAAGGGAAGTCCATCGGGCCTATTGTTGACGGTGATGCTGTTGTGACTTTCAACTTCCGTGCTGACCGTATGGTTATGCTTGCCAAGGCACTGGAGTACGAGGATTTTGATAAATTTGATCGTGTCAGATTCCCTAAAATCCGCTATGCTGGGATGCTTCAGTACGATGGTGAACTGAAACTCCCAAGTCGCTATCTTGTTTCTCCTCCGGAAATTGAGAGAACATCCGGAGAGTATCTTGTGCATAATGGTATCCGAACTTTTGCTTGTAGGTAAGTAATCGATGGCAACTTTATCGAAAAAAGTTCTCTTCATGATTTTTTTCCCCTTTTCTGGTTGTGCTGATTTAATTTCTTTGCCCTGCTATTGATTTACAGTGAGACTGTTAAATTCGGTCATGTTACATTCTTTTGGAATGGGAACCGATCTGGATACTTCAACTCGGAATTGGAAGAATACGTTGAAATTCCAAGTGATAGTGGTATTACTTTTAATGTTCAGCCAAAGATGAAAGCTCTGGAGATTGCCGAAAAAGCTAGGGATGCCATTCTTAGTGGCAAATTTGACCAGGTTATTCATCGATGCCTTGTTACTTCTGGGAAACCATTTTAGCATGAGCAATTTTATTTATTTTTTATTGATGTTTATTCACTGCAAAAGGTACGGGTCAACCTACCGAATGGCGATATGGTTGGGCACACCGGTGATATTGAAGCCACTGTTGTCGCCTGTAAGGCTGCTGATGAGGCTGTCAAGGTAATTCGACCAATTTACTTTTGTTTATTTTTTTATTTTAATAATAATTTTGAAAAGTCGTGCAAAACCATGCAATGGAGAGGATGAATGAGCACAGTCTAGTTAGATGATCTATTAAATGTACTGATCTTTGGCAGATGATTCTTGATGCAATTGAACAAGTTGGCGGGATATACGTTGTCACTGCTGATCATGGAAATGCAGAAGATATGGTGAAGAGAAACAAGAAAGGCGAACCTCTTCTCGACAAGAATGGCAAAATTCAGATTCTCACTTCTCACACTCTAGAGCCTGTAAGTAATTTATGTCTTTTTTCCTCGGGTGTTAAATAAGTTATTGAATCTGTTGATTTATGCATTTTCGTTAGACCTTTTTGTCGCAAGCCACTGTTGAAGATATTTTCTTGAATCGATTTACTCGTCTAGCTAGTAGTAGTTCATCTTTTGGGTAAAATATGTCATCAGACCAAGTAATCTCCTTTTATGTGCGATATTTCTTGAGTGATACAAACACGAGCTTGAGTAGATTCTGTTTCACTCAGCTCAGCTTGGGCGCCTTATTTTGTCGAAACCCCAACTCGTACGTAGGTGTTTGTTTTGTATTTTTAGCTTCAACTGTTTTTATTTTAAAATATGGAGAATCCATAAAGTATTAAAGTTTTGTGGGTTCTTATTGCTTTTTCTGTTAAGTGAATAGATTGCATTGTATTTTTGGATAATATGTTTAGAAGATGGGTGTAAGAATATAAGTAGAGAGAATTTTGAATAATTGGTTTTGTTACTCGTGTGATTTTGTTAGATGTACATATGTTATATATTAGTGTATATTTTTTGAGTAATATTTGGTGTAGGAATAAAGCAAGCTCAACTAGTGACTAATATGAATTTTGACTACTAGGTTCCTGTTGCCATCGGTGGCCCTGGTCTGGCTCCGGGTGTGAGATTCCGGAAAGATGTTCCGAACGGCGGACTGGCGAATGTGGCAGCCTCGGTGATGAACCTGCACGGGTTTGAGGCGCCTGAGGATTATGAGCCAACCCTGATTGAGGTTGTCGACAACTAGAAGACTCCAATCTCTCCCAAGTTTTGCAGACAAAACAAAACAAAACAATCAAATTATGTCAGAATAAAAACGGATTTGTGAAACCTTGATTTCATTTACTACTGACTAACTTATCAGCAATGGTGATGAATGCTGTGAAAATTTGGGTTTTGATTTGATTTGATAGACTTGTGATTTGGAAGTGTTTTTACTTTCAATTCCATCGGAGTATAGAATGCATTGCATTGCTGAATACACTTTCAGTATGCCTTGGATTGGTTGGTTCAACAATTAATCTTTCCAATGTGATTGATACTTGTGAGGAAGAGTATTTTTTGTTTCTAAGTAAAACATAGAGGAGATTTAGGGCGTCTATCAAATCTAGACTCTACGATGTTGTTGGACTTTTAAAATTTGAGTGTATATTTTAAAATCTTTTTAAAATCTGGAGGTAAAAGTCTTATAAAATATTGAAATATTTAATAATCTATAGACTGATTTTAATGGATTTTAATGAGAAAGGTAAAATAGCAAAAAATTTTCACGTGGTTTACCGAATTTGTTAAAAATCTCCCGTAGTCCTAAAATTTCAAAAAATTTACTCGTAATTTGTAAAACGTTGCAGGAAACACCATCTCGGTTAGGACTTAACGGCAAGTGTCTATCACGCGCTCAAAATATGTTGTTTGCTCTGGAAAGTCATATATATGAGAGTGAAGTTACAAAAATAACCTGAAATACGCCATTCTATTATTCACCTTTCTCTCATTCGCACGACTTCTTCTTCCTCCAAAGATTGCTCGTCGATTTCCATCACCTACTGCAGAAGCCTCCACCCTGCTGGCGCCGGCGGTTCTGTTTTTAGGTATTTTTTGGTCTTAGTACGATTTTGCCTGTCACTTTTGATTTTTTGCCGAAAACGGATGTCTGTTGGGGGAAATGGATTCTGATAATTTGTTTCTAATTTAATATTTGGTGTTATTAGCAATATTGAATCGTTGTTTTTGTTGCAATTATTTGAAATACTGCAATTTGTTAAACTCTAACTTTTTACGTTGCTTTGTTTGGCTTGAAGTGAATATTGTTTTTTTTTTTTTTTTTTTTTTTTTTTTTTTTATCTAGGGCCGGAATCGTGATTCTATAATTTATTACTTTTCTAGTAATTTGCAATGATAGGGAGTGAGTCTGTATGGCTCATATATGAATTTACTTGCAAGCATGTAATCTTCTGTTGTTTGAGAGTTTTCCAATGATTTTCCAGTTATGTCATTTAGCAGCTCAAAATCAAAGTCTAGGGGCCGGGTAGATCTTGACCTCAGGTATCGATGTCCACGATGCAAGTGGGGGACTTTTGCGGCAATCCGTGTCGTCGTTCCAACGAAGAAAACCCAAGGAAAATTATTTTGCAATTGCCGAGTTGGAGCCTGTGATTTTTTTCGTTGGCTTGATCCTGTGAGAACTCGTGTTGGAGAGTGGAGCAATGATGGGGATGATGTGAACGACTCAGAGGTTCAATCTGCTGCATTTGACGGGGAGCTACTCAAAAAAACAAAGGGGGTTGCGGATGAAATGTCTAAACTGAAAATGGTTGTGGAAGAACTACATTCTGAAATAAAAGTCTTCCGAACAAGACTGACGTATGTCAAGCTTCTCATGGTTGTTGTTATGGTGATTACCATACCGAAGGTCTTTTTTTTTAAGAAGTTGGTATGTCTTCGACTCATTGTGGTATTGGTTCGTCTGTTGTCATAGTAGCAGAGTAGATTTCGTTGTAGCTATAGGTGGGTGTAACATACTGGCGTCGTAGTAACAACATGGGTGATAAAGTTGTGGCAGTAGCTGTAATGTGTTTTTCTGATTTGTAATACAATGCACCGTAATGGTCCGTGTAGACAACATACTGTCTTGTTCTTTATTTTTACATGTTGCAATGTGTGTGCCAATCACTTAGCCATAACAAAACGCCGTAATATTAAATCTTCATTAACAAGCCATAATATTAAGCCTTTAACCACACAAGCCACAACAATACGACCCAAACAAACACTTCAACATACATGACATAATATTAATTCCCTAACAAACACTGCAATTTTACAATACTTTCAACAACTTAGGCACGAAACAAAATATCTAAATTGTAATCTACATAAAATTACAGCAAACCACATAATATCCCCGATCCGATTCACAAAATTCCGGGGCTAATTTGCATAACTACGTCCAATGCTAATTGGTTCTATACTAACAGACACATATGATAACAAACTACTCCGGGTACACGTACATGTATCCAAAACAGAAATTGATAGAATCTCACTAACGACCCCGGGAAGATGCACCACCTGAAGGCCCCCGATGCCCTGGCCTGAGTGAAAACCGAACACTTCGGAGCAGTGATGACAACGATGCACGTCGACTCCCTTACTTCCGTCTGTCGTCCCTGATGGACCCTGTGATTGCACCTGAGACGACTGCGTGTTAATGCACAGTCCGGTGATGGCTGTACGTTAGAGGCAACCTACCATGTCATCCAAGTAACAGTGAAATCAATTTTTTTTTTCCAGATAAATATATCGCAACAACAGCTGAGTAGCCTAAGAACTGAGATGGCTACCTGTTTGGACTGGGAGTAGTGTCCGTCCGGCCGATTGATGGGATCTTTCCTTGACGTGTTCTATCCATTTAAAGAGCAGCATTAGTTGGAAATAAGTGTAAAACACATTTTAGAAGTGACAACAAACTGAGGTGGCTGCTTACCTGTGGTTCGGGTTGGGAACAATGATCTCTTACCCGATTCGTGGGGATCATTTTTGCAACTCCGTCTGTTGTGCCCTTGTCGATGGCATTTAGAACAAGTAGTCGTCAATCCATGTCGAGATGCTTTACCGTCCTGCCACTCATCATTACTGTCGCGCCGACAAGCTTTTTTCGGACGCCCAATACGAACCTTCACGACCGAAGGCGCCACCTCTCCAAGCATGGATTCTTCGTACTCATGTATTCCAGGGACGGGGTTTATCGCATGGGTTTACACTGCCATGTACTTTTCCTTTTTGAAGCACGCATCTACAAAATTTTCCACCGCAAGTCTCTGGTACTCGATCGCGGCCACTTCATGGAAACAAGGATATCCGCTAATTTGGAACATGGCGCATGTGGACATATGTTGGTTCAGCTCGACAACATGGTTCTGCATGAAGTGCATAACTTTGTACTTTTCGTCGCCGCCCCATGATGGAAAACAGTTGCGGCTAGCCTTCCACACCAGCTCTACCTTTTTCATGATGTTAGGGCACACAAATCCCTCGAATTTCTCGATCCCTGCCTTTTTCGTTTCAATTTGAACCATCAACCTTCGTCGTATCCACTCGAACATATCAATTATTGGTAGGTCTTATGCCTACAAAATATATCGATTAAAGGATTCACACATGTTGTTCACGAGTACGTCGCTTTTTATTTGTACCCGGAAAAAGGCCCGTGCCCAATGCTGCTGTGGGATCTCACTCAACCATGCATACGCAGATTCCCCGGTCCCAGTTGCTGCATCGTACCGACGAATCTGTCGCAACACTTTCTCATGCTCCTTCAAATTAAATGTGGACGTTGCCTTCCAGAAAAGACGCTTCAATTCCAATCCCTTAAACTGAACTTTGAAGTTGTTGTACATATGACACAAACAGAAATGATGTTCTGCTCCTGGCGCTCGTTCTGCAATCGTCTCCACCAAACCTTTCTGACGATCGGATATAAAAGACCATTCCCAGTTCTAGAATCACCCAAATCCCTCAACAAATGCTCTAAGAACCAATTCCACGTCTCATACTTCTCAATCTCGACAAATGCAAAGGTGATGGGGTAGATATTTTCATTCGGATCTCTCCCTACTGCCGTAAGTAGCTGCCCCTTATAAATCCCTTTTAAGAAACAACCGTCAAGCCCTATGATAGTGCAACAGCCTACTTTAAATCCCTCCCTCAAAGCTGCCAAACAATAGTATATTCGCTTGAGCACCGGCGGACTAACCCCCTGATCGACGGACAAAATACAGCTGCTGCCCGGGTTGAATTTGCACACTTTCGTGCAGTAATCGTAAAGGCGTTTGTATTGTTCTGATATGCTACCCTTAATCAATTCCAAAGCATGTTGCTTTGCCCGGTAAACTTTGTACATAGTCACCTCAACACGCACCTCCCTCCGATTTTTTTCTTCAATGCAGGTATAGATATGTCCGGATTATCTGCCACCATATCTTTTATCCTCTTTCCAAGGTACTTGTAGTTTGCTTGCGCATTGGTTGACTGGTGTGAACACTGATGGGTACCCTTTAGGGTTTTGATCTGGAAGGTGTCTTCACCCATGATGGACGACGCGTGAATCCTCCAATCACAACCCTTCTTGCATATGGCTGTAACCTTCTTTTTTTCATTCTTTATGAGGTTTATATTCCACCCCCTCCGTACAGCCCAGTCACGGAGGGCTTGCCTATATTTCAATCGGTTCACAAATTTCATCCCGACTTTCAAATCACAGTCGGATTCCTCCATTTCATCATCCCATTCCTCGTAGGCCGGCCCTCGGGTGTCGTTAGAATCTTCCGGACTACGTAATACCCCATCCTCCTCGCTCAGTTCATCACTAATCCACCAATTTGTGGTCGTGTTAACCCCCGTCCCGTGATCCCACTCTCCAATCGCCTCAGTTTCATCCGCCAGGTGAGATTAATCCATCGGTATATCACCCCCACCGGGTTCTGCTGCTCCCTCATCTATGAGGGAAGTGTCCGAGTGAATTTTGCCTTCCGCATCCTCGCTATCCCACTATCCGTTATCCGAGATTTGATCCTCACTGTCAAAATTTTCCTAATGGGTTTTTTCTCATTGACTCTCCCGATAAATCCACAACTCCTCCCAATATTTGTCGGCATCTATATTTTCATCGTCATCGTCATTGTCTTCATCAACGTCATCGTCACCATCATCGTCATCGTCACGGTCATCGTCGTCATCATCATCATCGTCATCGTGATCGCTCGCATCTACACAATGAAACATAACATAAGCAATGTATTCATGTCAAATCCATATGTAAAAATAAAACATCCACGAGGTTTACCTGCCCTTTCTTCTGCATACAATCCAGCCTCATACCAACCACGATTGCCCATTCCCTCCGTGTAATCGGTCCACACGGGTTCCT